ATTCATGGCAAAGAAGTTTCCAAGTGCACAGGTCTTTGAGTAAACTGTCTATAAATAAATTAATTCCTCCCACCCGGGAATTGCTGGACTCAGAGCTGGTTAAATGTCCTTTAGTGTGTTCAGGAGCAGTGAATCACCCTGTTCCTGCCTTTATCTCTGGGGCAGAGCAAAGTCTGTAACTCTCCAGCAGAAGCAGCCTGCTCCTATCTGGCAGAAGTGATGCTTCCAGAGGCAGCCAGGGATCTCCTCATGCTTCTCTCTTGCTCTCTCTGTTCAGCTGTCTCTGTGAGTGGCTGTTCCTGGAGTCAACTTTGCTCCCACTGTGGCTCCAGCCACCCTCACCTCCCCTAATGTCACTGACATATTTCCTGAAAAATCCCTTTGCCAGGATTTCTTCTCATGGAAAGCTGGGAAGCTTCAGCTTCTCCATGTTTTGCTCCTCTGGAATGTGATTTGGAGAATTGTTTACCCAGCATGTGGATTGTTTTTAATTAATGACCAATCCCAGTCCAGCTGTGTTGGGACTTTGGTCAGTCACAGTTTTTTTATTACCATTCTTGTCTAGCCTTCTAATGCATCCTTTCTCTTTCTTTAGTATAGTTTAGTATATCAATATGATGTGATGTGATGTGATGTGATGTGATGTGATGTGATGTGATATAATATAATATAATATAATATAATATAATATAATATAATATAATATAATATATCAACTTTCTGAGAACTTAGAATCAATTCTCATCTCTCACCTTGTCCTAAAACCAACGCCACCACAACAATTAATAACCACACCCTAAAGTTCTTTCCAGAAGGTGATTTCTGTTCCCAGAGCCCTCCTGGGAGCTGCAGCACGATCTCTTTCCTGCCAGGCCCTCTGATCCAGCTGCATTCCAGAGCCAGGAAAGGCAGCTGCCACCCCGGAGAGAGGGTTTCCAGCAGCTCAGAAGGGATTTAGCAGCGCTTGCTCCCCACCGGCAGGGGATGGAGATTCCGGGTGGGACTCAGTAGGTGGCACTCTCCTTCTGGAGTCAGCCCCGAGCCTTGGGACAGAGCTGGCCTTGGCTTTGGGCTTGCTTTGAACGAGCTGTGCTCATTAAAGAGCTGTTGTTGGGAGGTCAGCAGGGCTGGCCACGGGCTGGGAGCTCAGTTCCAGTGCTGGGGAGAATCTCCTGGCCCCTGGCACTGGCGGGCAGGTGCATTGTTGTTTGTGCTTCAGCCCTGAGCTGGCTGCCCTTCAGCAGGAGCTGAAAACCCCAAAAAGCTTTGTTAATTTAGAGGTGAGGCCACTCAAGTCCATTTTCTCTGGACTGTGCAAGCACTGTGGAGCCAGAACAGTTCAGAAGCCACAAATGCCCAGGGTTTCAGTGCTGTTGTGAGCCAGTGGTGCTGCTGAGTCTCTCACCTCTGGGATTCACTGCTTTCTCTCCAATTCCTCACTTCCTGAGCTCATGCTCTAGAATTGCCCACACTGCACCACGGAATGAAAAAGGAAATTTCATTTAATTGTAAAGAATGACTTCCAAAAGCAATATCCCAGCCTGCTGTCACAGTGTGCTCTAGGCAGAGCAGAAAGATGGTCCAGCATTCCAAACCCACAAACCAATACCTACAGAGTGTACAGGCTGTCACATCAGCTGAGTGACACAGCAGTGCTTAAGGAGCACATATTCCTGAAGTGTCTGTGCCACAATAATTCTTAGATACATTCTGTTTAAATAATACATCAGGAATTAAGAGATCTGAGGTAGTGGTGCATGTTAAAATGTGATTTTCAGATCCAAGGAGTGTGCAGAGAGTAGGATGGAGTATAAAAACCAAGGGTGTTTGAACAAGACATCTGGTTTATATAGTGCTGTCTGTTCCCTGTGCTCTGAGCTGCTCAGTTGCACTGAGTCAACTGTAATAAAACAATACATTCATATTTATTAATTTTTCATGTAGGCTTTTGGAAACAGGAAGAGAAGTGAGAAGAAGACAGGATATCAGACATCCCAGAGATGCATCTCTGTTAAGGCTCTTTTGCAAGCCATACCAATGGCTTCACATCTGCTTAGGCTCAAAAATCAGATTCAGGTCCTAAGCCTTGCTTAGCCTCAGCCTTCCATGGACAAACCCCACATTCCTCACTTTGCCATGTGGCTCCTCTGTGTGCAAGGCAGGGATAATAACTCTGCCTCTCCTGGGTGCAGCACAGCCAATTTCATCACTGTCAGCTCCGTGGAATCCCTGGGTGAAAGGAACAACAGAAATGCAGAAAACATGGGTTATTAATAGCTGGTGCTTGCCCTTCCATACATCACATACACTGTTAGTCATTGTGGCCAGTAATTTACAGGGAGGGGAAAGATGTTCCTGGGAGCAAATGCAAAATGACACTTGGATGGTATCAGCCCTCTGAGGTGTTGCAGGCCCACAGAGTCTAATTAAGTCTAAATGCACTGATGCCACCCTGAGCAGATCCTGCTTCCTATGTGGGTGAAATGGAAATGTGCAGGAGCTCTGCGAATCTTAACGGGGGAATTTGAACTGCCAGGCAGTTCACGTTGGAAAGGCAGGTGCTGCAGTTGGTGTGCAGGCCAAATTCTTGGTGTGTCCCAGCCTTTTCTGCCTCCTTCATACAGCCCCAAGGTTGTCTGACACCTTTATTAGAGGGGTCACTGCGCACAGAAGTTTCCCTTCTCTGGTTTTAAGTGGTGGCTTAAAGGTCAGAGCTGAGGGGCTGTGACAATAAGGTGGAGTCAGCATGCAGCCCTGAGGAGAGCTGTGCTGTGAGGGCTCAGGAGTCTCCCCTGCCCACACTGCGCACCCTGGGAGCTCAGGAAGTGCTGCAGGTGAGGATGCAGGACAGCTGAGTGCCCTGGGCAGGGAGAGGCTGGGCTGGCAGGGGTGCTGCAGTCAGGGGAAGGTGTTTCACTGGCCTTGTGTGTGTGCAAAACATCTTCCTTGAGCTGGGAGCCATCCTGCCACTGCTAGCCATGACCCCAAGTGTAGAAATCACCACCCAGCCCAAAAAAGAGGCACAAAAATGCAAAGATCTCAGAAGAAAGGCACTTACCTTCCCAGCACTGCAAACCTGGCTGTGCCAGGCTCATGCCATTAATTTGAAACTTGGGAAAACTCATTTTCTCTGGGTCTATCTCCTTGTGTATTCCCTAAGGGAAATGAAGGATGGCTGGGAGGTTATTTATTTTCAGTAATAATGCACACACTGCTTCCAGACTTCCTGCTATTGTGTGATTATCCAGATTAATTGCCTGGGAAAGCTGCAGCATCATCTCAGGCCCTTATTAAGGAAGCTCACAACACGGATTTATATTAATGCATATTGCTGGGTGCCACAGCCTTGCTCCTGGAGGCAGATGGACAAATCCCACTGCTGAGTGCTGCCTGCAGACTGAGGGGGGGATTGCTGGCACCTTGAAAGCCAGGAGGAGAGAGCTGAGGTCATTTTTAGAAAGCTTGTTAGTGAATAACTTTGCTTATTCTAAAATCAGTTCCCATCAGCCTCTGCTGAATGATTGTGAGAATTGCTGGGGTGCTGCTGGTTGCTGACCCTGTCTGAACATGGGCAAGGGCTGGAATCTTAAAGATGCTTTTAGGTGTTTTAAAGTGTTCTTACCAGGGAGAGAGGCTCTAGACAGAGAAGGCTTTTAAGGTATATTCTGCCCTTTTGGTTTCCCTGCTGAGAGTTTAACAAACCATGGAGTTGCCTTGCTCTGAAAATCCTGTTCTGCAGCAGCTCAGCCTGGTCCAGGTTCCAGCCAAACTGCCACTGACCAAGGTAGAGCTGGAGGGTTTTTAAAGCAAGTCCAGCTCTCCTGAAACATCTCAGGGAGTTTGGCTGTAGAGGGTTAGACAAAGGAGCAGGATGTGCACATCCTTCAGCAACCCAACACTTCCCTCTGATAAATCAGTGTCAGTGCAGGGTCACACTGATGCTCTCACGGCTGTTGAGGTGATTGCTCATCTCCTGTGACAAAGGGGTGATTATTGTATTAGTAACTAGTGATATTAGAGTTGCTGTAACTAATATTGGATTAATAACTGATGATATTAGAGTAGCTGACCCATAGTGCACAACATGGGGTGCTGGAATCTTGGCAGTGTGAGTCCAGAGTGCAGCAGCATCCACATGTGACACATGAGGAGAGTCCTGGAGCACCACTGTGCTGGGCAGAGAGGCTCCTCAGCGAGCTCTGACACTGGGAAGGGTTTTAGTTTCACCCTGGGAGAGCTGGGACCACATTGTCTGACTGTGCATCTGTGGGAAATCTTTAAAAAATCCCAGTGGTATAAATTAGGGGTTCTACTCAGACTGAGTGTTACAGTAAGGGCCACTGGATAACACTGAGCCACCACTGGAGTGCAGATAAGCTTCCTGGGGACTGTGTTTCATGGAACAGGAGTTAAATGTTGGTGTTACTGTCCTTAGAAATGGAATAGGCATTTCCAGGCACTGACTCCAAGCTTTATTGATTGTTTCTGTACAACATGGGAGCCTGTAGAGCGTGGGCTGAGCTCCTGGAGTCGAGCTCGGCAGGAATCTGAACTGAAGGCTGGAGATGAGAGCACAGGCTCCAGTTCCATCCTGATCCCAGAGCTCTCAGTGCTGGCTGCTTCCAAAGCAGGATCAAGCAGCAGGAGCACAGCCTGCTGGTTTAACCCCACATGGCTTTATTGACACACAGACTCTGAGGCCTCCCCAGCCCTTCTCTCCTTACCCAGCAATCCCTGTAGTAACCTCAGGTTTCTCAGTCTCTCCCCAGGCAGCTCCCAGGTGCCAGGAAGGTGTTCAAGCAGGCATGCCCAGCCCTGGCTCAGCTCCTTTGTGAGCCCTCGAAGGCAGAGCAGGAGAGTTCCTCTGATATTAATTAGTCAATTAGCAGCTTGTGCAGCAGAGCCCAGGGGATGACTGACAGCAGAGATGGATGAGTTCATCAGTGCAGCTGACCCGGGCTCCCCAACCTGACCTCACATGTCTCTGTCTTGCTGTCCAGGTTTTACTGGGATCTCACCATGCTGCTGCTGATGGTGGGGAACCTGATCATCATCCCTGTGGGCATCACTTTCTTCAAGGATGAAAACACCACCCCGTGGATTGTCTTCAACGTGGTTTCGGACACGTTCTTTCTCATCGACCTTGTCCTCAACTTCCGGACAGGCATCGTGGTGGAGGACAACACCGAGATCATCCTGGACCCGCAGAGGATCAAGATGAAGTACCTGAAGAGCTGGTTTGTGGTGGATTTTATCTCCTCCATCCCCGTGGACTACATCTTCCTGATCGTGGAGACGCGCATCGACTCCGAGGTGTACAAGACGGCGCGGGCGCTGCGCATCGTGCGCTTCACCAAGATCCTGAGCCTGCTGCGCCTGCTGCGCCTCTCCCGCCTCATCCGCTACATCCACCAGTGGGAGGAGGTGAGACAGCCCTGCCTGCCAGCTCTGCCCTCCCACAGCTGCTTGCCTTGAGTGCTCCTTCTCCTTCCTGCCCCTAATGTCTGATGCTTTGTTGGGAATTCTGCAGGTTGTGGGCTGTGGGCTCTGGGGCCAGCATCCACGTGGATGGTGCTGTGTGGGCTGCAGGGGGGTGGGCACAGGTGGGCCCCTTGCAGGAATTGTGGAGCTGGTGAACAGAGCAATCAGCCAGACAGCGAGGGCTTGCCCTCTCAGTGCCCCCAAAGGTCCAGGAACAGCTCTGAGGAAAGGCTGGAGACAGCTGATTTGCAGAACCTGTGGCATCTGTTTGCCATCTGCTGCTTCTCTGTGCTTATCTTTTGAATGAAGAGATAAGCATAGGCATGTGTGTTAGAGCCCTCTTGCTTTCTGTATTCTCTGACACTCTGCTAAGGGAAAAAGGAAGGAAGAGCAATCTGCAGACAAAGGTCTGGTGAAAAGCAAGATCCCCACAAGCCCAGGACCCTGTGCTGCTCCCAGGGGGGATTCCAGGGTGCAGGGTGAGTTGTCAGGAATAATGTGGGTAAAGCCACAACCTTGCAAGTAGCTTGGAAATCAGCTGTTTTTCTCCTGTCTCCATGCTCTCCAAAGCAGAGAGAAAGCTCCCTGCATCTCTCTCCACATGTCAGGAGCATATTTTCAGGACAAGGAAAGCTGGTCAGGGCGATTTCATCTCCTCGCCATACTTTGTGTTGTGCTTTGGAGCAGAGCCTGCTGCAGAGCATGATCTAATGCAGGGCATGCTCCTGGGAATGAGAAGGGGAAGCAGCCATGCAAGTCATGGCTCGATTGCAGCGAGCTGTCACAACATTAATTCATGACAGAGCTGAGCCCTTCCCTCCTCCAAGCACTCACAGGGAGAGAGAGCACTGGGGCATGCTTCACAAATCTCAGCCTTCATCCTTGTGGTGCTACCTTTTGTGAGGGCTTCACTTAGAGCAGAGCAGAGCCTCATTGAGTTCTGGGATGTCACTGGACAGTGCTGGGGAGAGGCAGCCCGAGCCCTCAGATTTATAATTTATAATTTATAATTTATAATTTATAATTTATAATTGATATTCATTCACTCTGTGGCGCAGGCAGGAGTGCAGAGAGAGATGAACAAAGCACAAGTGTCCTTCTGGGGTGACTCAGTGAGTCAGGGGCTGACAGGCACTGACATCTCTCCAGGTGTGCTGGCCTGTGCCGTGGTTGCTTTGCTTCCCTCTCCTCTCCTCTGAGTGGCTCAGCAGAGGTGAGCTGGTGGCTCAGGCTCTCCACAGACTCACAGGACCCGTTCCTTGACTTCCCTCCCAGGAGCTGCTGGAAGAGGACTGAAGTATATTTGCGGTTTTGTACTGAACTTGTTTTGAAAATGACAAGACAGGAGCAGATCAGTGTTTTTCCCTCTCTCACTTGTAGTTTGACCGAGCAGCCATCCCCAGCTTCTGTCTCCAATGCCATTCCAGGGATGCTGTTTCTGAGCTGCTGTCCTGGGCCCTGGCACAGCCCAGCTGGGTGCCCTGTGGGGCACAGGCTCCCCAGGGTGGGGCCGTGCTGCCAGGGCAGGGCAGGGCTGCTGCTGGTTGCAGTTTGGGACTGCAATGCAGACTCTGTGCACTGCAGAGCCCTGACAGCAAACACCACGGGCTGTGTCAGACTGGGCTCGGCCCAGGCTGCAGTTCCTGGACAGAGTTTGACACTGGGAGCTTCTCCAGCTTCACAGCAGGGAGGGAGGCAGGGGGAAGGGGTGATCCCCTGTCATTGGTGCAGTGCTGCCACAGAGCAGAGGGGACACAGGGAGGGGGGTGCTGCTTCATCCCTGCGTGGGAGTTGTGCTCCTGCAGCCACGCTGGCAGCTCTCTTCCTCTGAAGGGCCTGCAGATGATCCCTGTCTGAAAGGCCACATTCATCTTTCCTCCCTGCACCCCTCAGTGCTGATGTGGGAGTGCCAGGACAGAGCAGTGCTGGACAGACTCCCTCTGGGTGTGCAGGAGGTTGATGTGCACAGCTAAAGAAGGAGGAGGATTTGGGAGAGGGGGTGCTGCAGGTCTGCTCCCTGTGGTGCCCCCCTCCTGCTCCATGCCTCATCAGCTGGCAGTGTCTCTGTAGCTCTTTGCTTCTGAGCACATCAGCTGTTGGGAGATGTGAGCAGGGTGTGCTGGGCCTCTGCAGAGGAGTGTGTGCCCTAGGGGAGCATGTGCAGGGCAGAGCTGCATGGCCAGAGAGGGATCACCATGGCACTGTGTGAGGGCAGAGCACCCTCACTGCACAGAGCTGGGCCAGTCCCTTCCCGTGGAGGCAGGGGCAGCACACACAGAGCCCTCCCCACTCAGCTCCTTGTGTTGCTGGGGTGAGGGCAGGGATCAGGGGGCCCTTCCCAAGCTGCCAGCAGCCTCTCCCTTCATTCCCCTGCAATTGGCCATGCTCTGCATGAATTTATCTCCGAGGCTGCAGTGAGCAGGAGCAGCCTTCTCCAGGGCTGCAGTGCTGTACAGCAGCCAGGCTCTCATCAGTTCCACATCAGCGCTGCTCAGGACTCTCTGAGCTGGGGCTGCAAGTCCCAGCAGCCTCTGCCATCCTCCCCAGGTCCCAGAGAGGTGCTCTGGGGATACAGCTGGGCAAACAACCTGAAGAGAAAAGGAAGGCAAAAAGCAAGAAAAACAATCTAAGGCACTCGTGTTCACTGGAGTATGAAAATAAGCTTAATTCCAAATGTAGCAGTTTCATTTGCATGATGCATTTTGCATGAGTGGTCCCACGAATGAATTTACCAGAAGGGCAGAGTATAAATAGAGCCTTGCTGAAGTGGCTGCCGTGTCTCCCCTGCAGTTGGGAGCTTGATTGCAGTGTAGGCAGCTGCACTCCCACTGCCTGGGCTCTGGCTTCCCTCAAATGTGGATCACCAGCCCCAGAGGTGTTCCCTGGAGTTCCCCAGGCCAGGAGCACAGGGCAGAGCAAACAGGGCTGCTCCAGCCAGGCTTGTGCTCCCCCAGAGTAACTCCTGTTATCTCAGCCTTTCTTTGGGGTGCCCAGCTTGGTCAGTGCTTCCTGCAGCACATGGTCCCAGGGCCAGGTGTCCCATTGTCCCATTGTCCCATTGTCCCATTGTCCCACTGTCCCAGGGTTAGGGAGCTGGGGCTCCCCACTGCTGAGCTGAGAGAGTTTCCAGGGAAAGGAGATCCAAACATGAACATCCTACAGACAGAAAAACAGCAGAAACACCATGGAACCCATGGATTCAATCAGGATGAACCATCCAGGTCAGATTGGGAGTCAAACCCCTCAGTTTTCTGAGCTTTCCCTGTTGAATACACAGCATCTACCCTGTGGCTGGTGCTGAGGTGCAGTAATCTGTGTTTAATATCAAACTATTTTGACTTAAGAACATTCATTGGAACAACAGCACAATCCTGCTCCTATAAATCTGTTTCCAAATAGCACATAGGGCAAGATAACCAAAATGTTTTGATTGCAGACTCTGTGGGAGGGACTGTGATGGGAAGGGAAGGAACTATTTGGGTTTGATATATATCAAAATGGTAATACTGTCATAAGTGAGGATTTTTCAGATTTTTTCAGGAAGAAAAATACATCTTTTGGTTTCTGCAGCTGAAGCCTGAAGCAAAGGACAATTTGATGATTTTCAGACTATTATGTTATTGAAACCTTGCAAACTTGCCTGAGTGCTGTCTTTTTCTTCCCTCTAGTTTTTATATTACAGAGGAGCTTTAGGAGGGAGGAAATGCATCCTCTCAGGTCCCAGTGACAACTCCCAGTAACAACTGGGCACAGATCAGACCCTCTAAAGATAATGTCACTTTCCAGAAGCTTCAGCTGTTTGGAAAATGGACCCAAAGCTGCAGGACCTGTGTGGAAGGACCAGGAGAGAGCTTCCAGAGGCCAGGAGAATATGGCTCCCAAGTGATTCTCCTTGATTTGCTAATTCCCTTTGTTTGTCTGACCTATCTGTAGCCTCTCCTAAATGCAATTACAATAATGTGGCTGGAGGCCTGGGGTATCATTGTCACCCCTAATTATGAAGGGATGGGACTATTTTGGGGCTAAGAACTATTTATGGCTCAGATAAACATCACTCAGAGACAGTGAGATTTTGGAGGAGCAAGCAGGCAGTCACAGCCCAAAGTAGTCACACGTTCTTTGTTACAAGGCAATGCAGAACTTTCTAACCCAATGAACAGATGCCACAAGTTTTATTTTGCTTTTCTAATCTGTCACCTTTACTCACTTCTGCTGCACTGTGAATGCTTTTACCCAGCAGGTTTCTGTCTCACATGCACACACACAAATGCTTCTGTTGTAACTTCTAAACTCTCAAGGTTGTGAGCTCAATCCTCACACAGGGCACCAATTTGTTGGATTAAGCCCTTTTCTGACCCAGAGATGGGGCAGCTGAGAGGTGTTTGAAAAACTTTCATTCCATTTTCAGTCTCATGAGAAGGGTGAGACAATACAGATGTTACAATTCACACCATCACAATCAGAAGCCAACTATTTCCTAATTACATTATGAGCATTTCTGGGCCTATCAGCTTTTGTCACACCATGCTGGAAATGCTTTAAAGCCATTAATCTAAAATTCATCTTCCATAGTTCTATTTCTCCAAAATATCTGGTCTTATTTGCAAGGCCATCCTTTGAAACTTGTTTTTAGTTCCATTTCTCTCTCAGCAATGTCTGTCCTATTCCATGGCATTTCTCAGTCAGCATTTCTTATCTCAAGGTTTGCATACAGATACGTGAGCCTTCTGTCAGGCTGTGAGAATTCTCTACAATGGAATCTACAATTCCATTTCCCACATCAGCTTATTCCATACAACCCCACCCCTACACTAGAAACCCTTCACCATCTATCAATGCAGTTTCTCACTTATTCAAAGCATATTCTTACAGCTATACAAACATAAGTTTATGATTTTTCTGTTTAATGTCTGTGTATTGTATATTTACATCAACCCAAGGCT